CTCGCTTTTACTTTTCTGTTGATTTTAGATCATATTGGTTTGTCATGGTACTCAACCTCTCCTCTAGGAAAAAGGAAACACTCCGTTGCATGTAGCTGCAAAGGCAGGGCAAGTATCTCAGGCTGAACTATTGACTGTTTATGGGGCAGATCCCGGAGCCCCCGACAGCAATGGCAAAACTCCCATTGACTATGCAAGGTCAGCTATTTTCATTTATCTTATATAATTCAAACACAAGATATTATGGGCCTGCAGTCTCACCCTTTGAAGTATTACATGGTGCTTTTTAACTTGTGTCTTTGTAGGGAAGCTGGCCACCATGACCTGGCCGATAGATTGGTGGAGGTTCAGTACGAACTAACTGATCGCCTGGCGTTCTACCTGTGTGGGAGAAAGCCAGGTAAGCAATGAGACAGATATGTATTTCAACTATTTAAAAATGTGGGTCAGAGAATGTGTGCATGTGTGGTTGGAGTGGAAAACCACACATGCACACACATTCACAGAGTGAAAAAGATTCTGCACATAGATTTCACCTATGTGGCAATCTAAGCAGAAAAAAACAACAATTGCTCATAGTATTTAATTCGATTTGTGAATACTGATTATGTTCCATATCTAAATCATGCCTAATAGAAAGTGTTTACATTTCCCATAAGTATCGATGATGTTGTTGGCAGTCATCCAGAACGTTGTTGTTGTTCCTTTCAGATCATAAAAACGGCCAGCACTTCATTGTTCCACAGATGGCTGACAGGTAAGAAAAGCATAAGCTGTAACTTGATGTACGTCGACATTAAGTGATTTGTCTTTGAATTAACGCGTGTCTAAGTGAATGAGTTTAACTTCACTCTGAGCAGCAAAGTGAGTGCAGCGAGGCAGTCGTTTACGGCTGTGTTTTCTCTCTGAGGCCTGTTAGGACACGCTGTTGAGATTGCTGCAGCATCTGTTATCTGTGTCAGAGGAAACAGACCCAGTGAAGTAGTTGGCGTACCCAAAAAACTGCACAAAATTAAAATTCCAAAGAATTGCAGATTGCAGTCACAGCCGCTGTAGAACAGTCATTGTGCTTTTTCACTTTAAAATGATACATTTGATCTTTTTCCTGCTCTCTTTTGATGGATAAGGAACATGTAAGTATCACTCATAATGATGTGTGTATTACATATTGTAATTGTATTATAAGTCGACTAAACAAGTCATCAGCATGTGTTTTATGAAAGTTATTGTCTGTTCGTAGCAGTTTAGATTTATCAGAACTGGCCAAGGCAGCAAAGAAGAAACTGCAGTCTGTAAGTATTTTTCAGAGTCACTGTACTGAGCTGTCTTTTCTCCCTTTTACTTAAGTCTGACTAAGTGTAATTTCCTAATTTTCATGCAGCTCAGCAACCATTTATTCGAGGAGCTCGCCATGGATGTGTATGATGAGGTGGACCGGCGAGAGACTGATGCAGGTGCGGTAGAATTATCCAGTAAAAGCTCTCACTGATACTTTAAAACCTCCACTTGTGTTGCACTTATACTCTCCTCTAAACCTGACACCGCTGGTCTCATTCCTATCCTATTATTTGTAGTGTGGTTGGCTACACAGAATCACAGCACGCTGGTGACCGAGACGACTGTGGTGCCTTTCCTTCCTGTGAATCCAGAGTATTCCTCAACACGAAACCAGGCGAGTCCACTTTCCAGAGCTCCCATTCAAACACTTTCCTGCTGCGCGTATTTACTTTGAAGTTAGATTGCTGCAGATGTGACTTTGTTTTTCTTTTTTAGGGGCGCCAGAAGCTTGCAAGATTCAATGCACATGAATTTGCAACTCTTGTGATCGACATCTTAAGTGATGCTAAGCGCAGACAACAAGGGAATTCAATAGTCAGCCCCAAAGGTGAGTAACTTGTTACTTTATTCCAAGATCCTTCTGACTATGAAGTGCCGCACAGATACGCAGTAACTCTTCCGCTCTGTGTCCCTTCATTCCAGACAATGTTGAATTTATCCTGAAGAGTGTGGCTGTTAGGCATTGTAGTGATAGCCAGGACAATGACCAGCCTGACTATGACAGCGTGGCGTCTGATGAGGATACAGATCAAGAGCTCCCCTCGAGCAAAGGAGATAGGACCAAGGTATCTCGTGGCATCACTTTGACGAACGAAAACCCCTCTCTCTAGGTGCCTTCGCCGTGTCGTATTTTAACCCCTCTCTCCAACAGAGCCTGGACTCGGACCTCTCAGACGGCCCCATCACTATGCACGAATACATGGAGGTGAAAAACGCGCTCTCTGCCTCTGAAGCCAAGGTCCAGCACCTCATGAAAGCCAACAACAACCTGAGTGATGAGCTGAGGCTGATGCAGAAAAAGGTATCCACCGCGCTGCACCAATAAGATCACTAACACCGGGGGCCGGACTGAGGGGGGGCCACAGTGGTCAGCAGTGCCCAATGTGATCGCTCTCTGGTGTGGAGGCCCAGCCCTGCAGGTTGTAATGAGGGCCGGGCTATCTGAATAGGAATGCTCTGTTGCAAGATAAGGCTGCTGCGACACCCTGCTGGTCCACCCTCTGTTTTGGCCAGCATGTTCCATTTCATAACTTGAATTGTAAACTGGAGATTTATTTTGTTTGTTTGTTTGTTTTCTGGTTTTGAGAAGAAGAAATGCACCCGTACTCCAGTTAATAACAAAAGTTGAATTCCCCTTTTTGTAATAAATAAATTAGAGTTAAATCTATTCTGTCTAATGTTACTAACAAGCATGTTTTAAGAAAAAAGCATGACAGTGGTTTTTAATCCCTTCATAGCACATAGTTACTAACTGAAATTGTATGTGTGTGCCTTGCTTCATCACATATACTGTGTTTACTGCATAGAATGTTTTTGGATGATTTCCTTTAGTACGTTTTATTGTTTGACTTTATTTTCTAAGTGGTTTACATTTCATAGATATTTTATAGAGAGCAGATGATACAAACCTGGAATACTGTTACTCTGTTACATCTAACTGCTGATTTATAGACGTGACACTGTTAAGATTCTGCACCAATGTATGACCCAAAATATTTTGAAAATGATCATTTTTGGCCACAGATATTCTAAGCATGTTAAAGCTTTAAGTTTTTTTTTCTTCTTATGTTAAAATTGCTTTAATTTGGCTGTTTGGAAGGAGCATGCTGATCATTTGTCACTCTTAATTCTGTTTGTATGACTCTCGGTTACACACAAGAGGTACTTGTGACGCTCCCCTGTCGTAGACATACAGCACTGTAGCGTACTGTACTGTTTTTGGTGATGTCATTTGGTGTTGTGTTAGTTTACCGTTGAACAGATTCTTAAAAAAAAAGCTCACATTCAGATGAAGATCAGGAGAAAACAGGACATGTGGCTTGTGATGACACATTGTAGTAGCCCTTAAAAAAGTATAATTCAGAAGATGTGCACAACATATTGTTAATGTAGTTTTCTCTCCACTTTAATTGGAATAATTATGTCATTATGTCAGAGGGTTAGTAACTAAACCATACTACTGACACAAGATTTACCATTTACTTTGCACTAAATGCAGGTAGTTTAATTAATTAAGGCTGTTTTTTCTTCACCCAAACTGATATATCTTTGACAAAATCATCTTGATTTTGTTCATTCTTGAATGCCCTCTTATCCTCTCACAATTCTTGAGTCAATCCGTCTGTACCTTGGCTACATCTTTAACTGCACCTGTGTTGCTGACCTATGCAACAATCTTTTGCTTGCTTATCACTTGCTTTGCATTTTTTTAGACCAAGAGAAAATTTCCCCCCTAAAACAAAATTCATGTTATTCCTATGATATTAGAAGGTTCAGTTACAATCCCACTGATGGCCAATTTGATGGATATTAAAGGAGAGCTGATATTTATTGGAAGACGTTCTCATGCATGTTTTTAATACTTGAGCTCAAGTAAGTATTCTGTCAGCTCATAACTACGAGACATGAGTTTCTCTGTAAGTCATTGTAAATAGAGAACTGGCATATTGGCCAATACCTAGTACCGATCCGATACATACGATTTAAGCCTGTATGATTGCTAGCGTTGTTGTATGGCCTGGCTCAGGTTAAACCCTTTGTCAGAGTCAGAGGAGGGCGGGTTATGACTTCACTACCCTCGGAAAAAACAAAAATGGGACTGCTGGGAAGTAGCAGGGCCCCGTTATAGGGCTAATAAATTACGTAGTATCGGATCAGTGCACAGACACTCGTACTCGCCAATGCAACATTTTAGGCAGTGTAAGAGGAAAGTCCAATATGGTATTAGAACAACTGTTAATTGTCAATGAAGCAGATTCAGGTTTTGTATATTGGTTACTTATTACAAACTTGGTTCTCTGGCTATTTTGTGAGAGCAACATCCAAATATTAACTGAACTTTCTATATCCTGGGAATAACAAAAATTCAAAAGTTATGTTCTCCAATTTTATAATATGATGCCCACAGATGTTTTATTCATGCTGAATGAAACCCGTGGCAGAATTAAATGACTTTAAGCATGCTGACAGTAGCAGGCTGTCAGGTATAATATGAATATTTTGTGCAACAATGGGATAAAGGCTGATATGTTGTGCTGTAAAGATAAAGTGGATCAGAACAGGGAACAAAGCTTGCTTTGCTGAGAGCACCTCTTAGTGTGTTGCTGACCGTCTCTTCCAGCTACAATCTCTGCAAAGCGAGAACATCTCTCTCAGGCGGCAGGTCACAACCAATATCTATCAGATCCCCAGCGGTTCAGACTACCCCGACCCCTCCAGCCCCTCAGCCCTGAAACGCCGGCAGTCTGCGCGGGCCAGTCGGCCCATGTCTATGTATGAGACCGGCTCAGGCCTGAAGCCCTATCTCCCTAAAGGGGAATCTCCCTACCCAGAGGAGGGTATCCCCACCCTGCAACCCTTCCCACCTCATGTAAGTAAGACCTGTTCCCTGCTCTCCTTTGCCATTTCCTCTCAACTGCCCTGTTTCCACCACTTTCCCTCATGTCTTCACCCTGTCTGCAAACCTTTCTCCCTGCCATTTTTTTTTAATGTTCTTCCTTCCTAATTTGCCACTTGGTAGGTTTTTTTTTTGCAGAATCAGAGGCAGAGTCATCAGAAAGCACAGTGTCATGCGTTTAGACACAGCCAGTCACATTTCATCTTGTCCAGATTCATTTTCAAAACCATTATCTGCATTTATCTGTTGTTTACTGGAGTGCTGCTTGTTTGTCAGACAAAACGTAGTTGTACGCTCAAGGAGATGCTGTTATTTTGATATACTTTGAAGGTTTGTACTGTGTTTTATGTTGATGAAGCATTAAAACTACCATACAAATACTGTGTTTTTGTAATGCATGATAATTTCACAGACTCACTTTATCTTCTCATCTGTTTGGATTCTCTTTGATTCAAATAAGATATGTATGCCAGTAAATTTGAGCCTTTGAATCATATTTTTCTGGTGCTTTTCTCCCGATGGAATAACTCCTGGGCTCTCTAGTCATATTTTCTTTTCCAGGACGCTGAGCTCTGAAAGGAAATGGTTGTGAGCCCAGGAAATAAATGTAGGAGGATGATCTGTAAAAGCAACTAAGCTCTTTTGACTTTTGACTTGTCTACATAGCATTGATTTATCGTAAGCTCAACCCTCTAGAAGAATAGAATTAATGTCATGGTCATTGCACAGATATAGTTTTCCATCAGCTCCATTCCCAACTTACAATATCCGATGAACCCACAACTGGCTTAAAGAGACTTTTGGGACAATTCCTCTCATTCATTTTGTGTTTTAGTTTGTATAAACGTTTCTCTTTTAATTTAAGGAATTTGTGTCCTTAAAATGTGATTTGAACCCTGTCTTTAGACGGAAAGGGGCGCTTTTGTGACCACCTCTTCATCCCTCCCCTCATTTCCATCCACCCTGTCTTGGTCGAAGGACGAAAGTGCTCAAAAGGTTAAGTACATCCTCACTCGGCCCACATCTTGTGGGACGCAGCAAAACCACTCGGAGCCCTTTATCATTTCTACATCTCCCCCCTCCCTGACTTTCCTCTGTCCTCTTTATGCTGCTCCTTATCTGCCCTGCTGCATGAGCCGCCCCTCCACCAGCTGCCCTCACCATCAGATACCTGCCTCCATCAGCATCATCCTCATAGCGCGGATAAACAGCTGGAATTGTGCGGTTTTGCGAAGGCGAAACCTCTGCCTGACTGCTGAACGTTTGCACTTGCGATGCAGCACTTACGCTAATTTTAACGCTTTCTTTCTTTTTTTCTCCAGAAACCTGTGTTGCACATGATGTGGAAAAACTTTGATTGTACAAAGTTTTTCATTTTTATAAAACAGCCACCTGTCTGTAATAAGAAGAGAAACACTCTTGAGTATTTTGTGAATTATATTGTTAAATGTATATATTTTTTTATACCTGCAGAGTTGTTAAACCTGTTTTTCATTTCAAACACTCTCAGTATAAAGAGAAGTCCTTTTTTTTACTATCTCTAACAAATGCTTGGCCATTTTGCACAGTGAGCTTCAAACGGCATGCTCTCACTTCCTCCAGTAACACACGAACACTGTTATTTAAAGTCTAAAAAAATTAGTTTTCTGTCAAGGCAGAACAAAAATTTATTGAAACTTATGTGCTAATCACATTTCCTGAGGCAAGCTTATGTGTGTTGCATTTTGTCTTGCACACAAGAGGTGGAGTTCATTTAGACTCTTGGACATAGATGGGAAGGGTATGAACATGTTATACAATAGGTCCTGTGTGGCTTGAGTGTACTCGTTTGTCTCTGCTTCCTGTTTCTAAATGTAGCTTTGAGTCTGAAAGTGAATCTGCATAAAGTTAAGTTAGCGTCTCAAATCAGAGCGAGCCCCATCTGGTGTGAAGATAAGGCATTCCTGTTTTGTGTGATACACTTTATAGTCGTGTTGCAGTTTATCCGTTTGATTTATGAACTCATCCGAACCATGACTTCCCCTCCCTTAAACAATGACTCTCTGGGGTCTACTTCCCTTTAGGTTGGAGGATGAGTAAGGCTTGTGTTTCATGGTTTTAATGTAATGTAAGCCATGTGTTTCTCATTATTAGTATTGCCTTTTTGTTTGTTATCCGTGAATCCATCCTTACCTCAAAGTTTTTCATGCACAAATTAAAATATTGTCACATTTGATGATGATCTCCTGAATAATCCTAGAGGATCAGGTCATTTTCAAGCAGGCGAGTCAACATTGGTGATTATGTCAAACTGATGTGTATTATCTGCATTATTTGTTTTACTAATCCTATATTGAACGCTTTAAATTGATTATGTGCTCTTGCTTCCCAGCTTTATTGGCTTGTCTCATTCAGAGTCCTCTGCATTGCTCTCTCTGTTTATATAGTCATACAACAAATAGAAAGGGGTACATTTACAATATATGTGGCTGTTCTTTTTTCAATAAATTTGACATGTAGCATTTAAAATTCGGATTTCATCACAGCTGGCTGTGGTTGTGGTGCTGCAGGCCTTGCACGAGACCCATTATCAGTTAGTCTTTTTTGCTTTCTCTCTTCTGTATAGGCCACGAAATTAGAGAAGCAAAGCAGCATGCCGGAAAGTGACTATGACAACACATTCAATGACTCTGAGATGGATGATTCAGGGTAAGTGCATAAGAGATGACTGAGGGTTTATCATAAGTGATAACAAAGAACATTTTCTGACTCCTAAATGCAGTTTAAAAAAGGGGTTTTCAAGATAAATAATGTGATGTTTTGTCTTTAGATTGAAAACAATGAACAGAGATTTTGGCAGTAGACATGATTTGTTCCCTGCAGTTTGTGCAGGAGAGGGAGGCTGAGGAGTAGTGGCTGGCTGGGGGAGGGCAGCTCTATCCCTGAGCTGGATGATCTGGAAATGGAGCCAGACCCCACGCTTCCCAGCACAGAGGACGTCATCCGCAAAACCGAGCAGATCACCAAGAATATCCAAGAGCTGCTGCGAGCTGCTCAAGAGAACAAACATGACAGGTCAGAATCTGGAGACAGACGTATCTTTCAGTTTAGGATCTGGGGGGTTTTTAGCTTTCATTTCTCTGCTTCCATTTTAAAAACCCTATGTTCCTCTTGCACTGACCATTATTCTGTTATGTTTAGTTGCGTTTATCTTCTATCATTTCCCCTTTTTGTCTGTTATCGTCACTCTTCTCCCTCGTTCTACTTCCACTCTGCTCCGCTGTTCTGCTGTTGTTTTGGTGTCGCGGTGTGCCCGTACCTCACCCCTGTGAGCAGACCATGTGAACGTGAAGGTGTGCGTCGGCTCAGGCACAGCCTGGGATGCTTCAGCACACTGGTGCCCTGGGCCGAGAAGGCCCCCCCTTCCCTTCAGCCGCTCAGCCTGCGGTCCCCTGACCCCACCTCCTGGTACTCTGGCCTCTGTCCCTGCCTCCCAGGCACAGTTTTATTTTCCTCTCCCTCACACAAGCCTCGTCCTTTCTCTTCTGTCTCACCTGCTAACAAGCAACCTCTTCTTCTTTAAAGTGCTACTGAGTGTGTGCAGTTTATAACGTGCCTTCATTTAATTGTTTCTCTTCAAGCACTGATTTTTAATTTGCTTCAGCTAGTTGATGAAGTCACATCAATGCAGTGACTTGCTTTCGATATATAGGTGACTGTATTTGATGTAACACATTTTTCAGGTTGATGTTGTTTCTGCTGTGTGGCCATAATTTCTTACTACAAAAAATGTGTCATAGAATAAAAGTTTCTTGTACTTAAATAGCATGTTCTGTTCATTGGCGTTAACCAGAAGTTGAAGATAATAATGCACGGTGTGTGGTGAAGACTATATAGCACTTACTCTGTAAGTTGACTTGCATGTAAGAGCTCCTGGTTAATTGATATTTAATCAGTATTTGTTCTATAATTTTGAGATTTGTATAAATATGACATCAACATGTTGAACTCATCGACAAATCTCTTCTCCTCACAGCTTCATACCCTGCTCAGAAAGAATACATGTGGCTGTAACAGAAATGGCTGCCCTCTTTCCAAAGGTATGGAAACAAGTGTGTATGTATTTTGCACGGAGAGAATCAGCCAGTTATTTTGAGTTTCAAGGTCCAAATTCACAAATATTTTCACCAATTCCTGATGTATTATTTTACTTCTTCTTAAATTAAAAAGCAATAAATTCCTCCTAAATAAACAATATATATTCTTGTGTGTTAAATGTTAATATTAGTGTGCTAAAAGAATAAACAAATAGGTTCTAGCCAGATTGAGTTCTAGGCCTGCAGAGGTCCATGTGGCACTAAACCACCTCTCTTTGCACAAATCTGTTTACTTTTAAACAAACACGTTCCGTTAGTATTAAGATATTTTAACCTTCCTCTGCAGAAGCCGCGCTCAGAGACTGTGAGAGGCCCTCTGCGCTTGTTGACCTCCAGCGCGTACCGGCTTCAGAGCGAGTGCAGAAAGGCGGTGCCTTCAGAGGGCTGCCCGGGACCGGACATGCAGCTGGTCACCCAGCAGGTCATCCAATGTGCTTATGACATTGCCAAGGCAGCCAAGCAGCTTGTCACCATCACCACAAAGGAGAATACCAACTAACAGCACTTACAAGGCTGCAAAGCCGTCAGCATCTCAGTTCTGTTCTTATATATATTTTTAATGATTCTGTTGGGTTTTTTTTGTAATTGTGGTATATGCATGCATTTGTTTTTTAATTTATGAATGAATATTGACGATATTTAAAGCCAGCTCTGCAAAATCTGAGCATTAAGGGAAAAAGTCAACAACTCAACTTAGGGATATGCAGCTGTTGTAATAGCACAATTGCTCTTGAGGTAAAAAAAAACAAACAAACAACAAATCATGTGGCAGCAGCTAGCAGGCCTGGGAACTGTAATGTTTCTACAATTACTCTTTAACAATTAGAGTAAAACTTGCTCTTAGTTACAATTTATCTTTAATCAGTCCGTAATGTAAATACCTTTTTATCGAGAGAAATAATGAAGCACACTACAGTAAACCTACAAGATGATATTGGTTATTGTTATCAGTCCAAAGACAGACAAGCGGATGCTGAAAAGCCATAAATGAGTCATGAATCCACTGTCATTGAATGCTATTGCTAACACTCTTGTAGCTAAAGGAGCGTCCTCTCATTAATTGCACTGTGCAAGCATCATCATACTGTAAACCTTTAATCTCCAAAAAACAAATTGACCATTTAGTGAACTCCCATTAAATGTTGGGAACTTCATTTATGCACAATTTGTAGCTCTGCGATACTAATGTTTGTTGCATCAAAAAAGCTATTTATATGGTTTGTCCCGCGTCCAAGTGTAATCCAGTCTGCAGTGCACTTATTGCAGCTATTTATGTATGCCCATTTGTCAAGTCAGTGAATGCAAATAACACTTGTTCAGGGGCCAAGTTATATTCTTCACCAGCGCCAAGATGTTGTTGTATTAAGTTAGTGTGCCATTGCAGTGTTGGTGATGTTATTCAGAGCTACTAGCCATACTGTGCAGTATGTATGTCCAAGTGTTTTTGTGCTCTGTTCCGTTGCTGCTAGTTTTGTATTTAATGTGCAACATATGGGATAGAAGTCTAGACGTCTCCTGTATAATTGTGCAACTCAATGTTCATCCTCACCAAGTGTTTCAGAGTTCATTGTCATGTTGAAATCTGATCAAGGTAATGTCCCTCTCTGTACTTGGATGGAGTGCAGGGATGTATGTGATGCAGCTGTTAAGTTGCACTTTTAATTATAAAAATTATTTTCTAAATAAACTTAATTTATAACTATAGCCTGTTGTGGTTTGCCAGATTGTGCATTTATCATGTACATTTCCTCACTTCATTAATGCAAAATACTCAATTTATTTGTTTTATCAGTTTTATTAAAAAAAGTCAGGATAGAAAATATACAGATCTAAAAGTGCAAAAAAATCTATTCTTTTCTACATATGCAAACAACCAGCATTAAATTATCAACATCTAGATGGCACTTCAATATATGTCCTCATAACCTACATGAACGCTTCAGTTTTTAAAAGGCACAGGTTCACAAATGTTCACGTGTTTTAAAACATTACTCACACGTCCTTTTACATTTAAAGAGGTGGATGAAATTGTTCTTGTTCTCCATACTGGCTGGGAAAGTACCTCTTCAGATCGCAGTTCCAATGTAAGAGAAGGGGGACACAACTCACAGTCTTTGAACTGTGCAAAAATGCATTTTAAAGTTGTGAAATCATGTGGGCCTCTTCCAAAGTTCTAATCTTTTGAGTGCACAATTCCCTTCTTGTGTTACTGTCCCTCCACTGCACGCAGTACAGGAAGAGATCGAAAAGAGGGAAAGAATAACAAATCCACAGTTGATTTGATAAACTTTGAAATGCATGTTTACACTGAATCAGGACTGTGGATTTTGTCCTTTATTTACTTGGAATCACTTTAAGAAGGAACCTCCTAACAGCCAGTATGGACAGGAGGAACAACTACAGTGACCACACACTGTGGATGATGAACATATGGGCCTATGAGTTTTGTTTTAAGACACACAGAAATGTGACACTATTCTTTAAAGCTCATTACTTATAAAATATTAAATTGATTGGATTTCAGTCTTGCAGATGTCTCATGTCCAGGCTGATCGAGGTCTGCTGTGAATCTGAAAGAAACCATTTCAAGCATATTTTAACATTGAAGGATTATTTTACAATACAAACAGGATCCTCAGTTTCATCATCGGCTTGACTTTTATCTTTTACCTTCCCCTGGTATCCTTTCTTGGCCATCCTCTGCATTTCCATCCTCAGCTCCTCCTCCTGCATTTTAAGAGCCTCCCTCTCCTCCTCTTCCTCCTCCTCTCTCATGCGCTGCTCCTCCCACTGCTCTTGGCGCTGCTGCTCCACCTACAGTTTACACAAAGAAACAACTTTAGGTCTCAAATGTACATAAATAAGCTGCTATTGTGGCATCATTATCAGGGACTCGGACTAGATTTCTTTAAAGGTCTAAATAATTAACTTTGGTGTGTGGAGGAAGACAAGGGGCTATGAAAACACAAACCACTGCATTGTGTGCTAACCTGAGCATTTATCTCTTGCATCCGTGCTGTCCTACGGCCCTCTTCTCGCTCCATCTCCTGCCGTCTGATCTCCCTCTCCAGCTCCAGCTCTTGGATCAGCTCTTCTCGTCTCCTCAGGGACTCCTCCTGAGCCTTGCGGTTGTTCTGCATCTTCAGCTCCAGCTGTTGCTGTCTCCCCGCAAGCACCTTGCCACAACAAAAAAAGGAGAGCTGTTGTTTAGTTCTCACATCTTTTGAATTACACTCAAAGTAAGTTTCATTTTGATTTTAAAACTAATTCACCTCTTGCATGAGCCGTTCTCTGGCTCTCCTCTCCTTCTCCCACTGAGCTTCTCGTTTCTCCCAAACACGTTGAGCTTCTTCCCTATAATGGATGAGATGTTTGTATTTGAGGACAAGCAGGAGTCCCTTCCTGCAGAGTCAGAGCTTACTGAATCTCGTTGCTCACCTGTGTAGGATGTCGAACTCAGCCTCCCTCTCCTGCTCCAACTGAAGCTGCTCTTCAATCACACGTTTCATCCAGGCAGCGTCAGCGATGGCCCTTTCCCTTCGTACAGTCTCTATCTTCCTGTCCTCCTGCTCTCCTTCCAGCATGGCTGCCAGGATCTTACGGTCAGCCTCCTGGTGGGAGCAGAGGAATTTAAGGTAGATGTAGGAAAGCCAGGCACGTTGTAGAAAAATATACTGTATTAAAAGATTCAAGAGGTGAAGTAGACTAACCAGTTCCTCCTGCACTTGCTGGGCTCTCCTCTTCAGCTGAGCACGATATTGCCGGATCAAGAAATGCCTAGTGGAAAACAAATCCAATGAACCCAATGCGTCACCAGAGTGAAGTATCCTCTCACTTGTAATCAGTTATCTGCAGAAAGAGCTTCCCTTACCCCATCTCAGACTTCTTTCGCCTTTCCTCCACCTCCCTCCTTTTTTCCTCCATCTTCTCCAGCTCCCACTGCTTGAGCAGCAGAGCCTCCTGCTCCTTCTTTAGACGAGTTGCCTGAGAGAGAAAAAAATGCTTAAACACATCTGCAATATAATTTTTCACAGTAAAAATATTTTTTCCAAGTTCTACATACCTCCTCTTCCCTCAGCTTCAGTTCTTCCATCTGTTTGCGAAGTTCTTCGGCCCTCTTCCGCTCCTCCATGTTCTTTTTCTCCTCTGCTTGCTTCATCCTCTCCAGAGCCTCTTTTCGGGTCCTCTCGTACTCATTTTCAAAGCGTCTCTTCTCTTCCTGCTCTGACACTTCTTGCTGCATGTTTGGAGAGATGGCTCACTTACAATTGGTGTCTAAACTTTCTCAATTATGTAGCATGTTGAAGGGATTAAGTTGAGTAGATTTCAGACTCGATACTGTGTTCACAGATGACATGAGCACCATTTAATTAAAAATTGATTTGTTATAAATAATTAGTCGCGTCAAAGGATAATGACAGAGTTTAGTGACTATGTGTCACCACAGGGTGATACTTAAGAGCAGCAGCTCGTTCTCTCTCTTTCAGGGGTCCTTAAGAGCGTCCCAGTGGGTCCCCAGAAAAATGGGGAATATTTTTTTCACTATTATTTTACTGATTAGAAATTAGTCCAATGGGAGAATATTTAAGAATGACTATTCTATTCACAGGCCTAACACTGTTAATACCACAGTAAGTCTGGGTCTGCAGCCAGATGTGAATCAATTTGATGGGCCTTGACAACAAAAAGGTTGAGAACCACTGCTTTAGAGTATGAGTTGGAATAAAACTGAGTATTGTACACCAACTCATCAGGTGTGACAAAAGACCTTAAGGTCAGAAACACATCTTATCTGAACAGAAGCTGAACTGTTTCGTCTGCCAGCTGTGATAAATGTCTCACCTGTTTCTTCTCCGATATCTGCTCCTGCCATTGGTTGACAACATGATCTTTATGTAATGCTGACTCGACCTGTGGACAGATTAAAAGAGCGACTAGTGACATAGACGAGACAGAGATACTGATGAACTTGACCCTAAGCGGAAGAGATACCCAAACTTTTTATTCTCTTAAGTCAACGCTGGACTCGGGTTAACAAAAAAGTCATGGAATATCCACATCACAAGCCCTATTAGTTTCCAGATCAAGTGGATGTCTTGACAAAAAGTGTCTGTTTCTTCTCTTTGTGGAGCTCTTCAGACGCACAGGATGGTCACAAGATTCCCAAGACCCATTTATCACTCCATCAACAGTCGGGCTTTGAGATAAGAGGTCTGGCAACTTGTCCCTTTTACATTAATAGTTTAAACTTAGCTACCTCTCGCAAATCTGGGTTGTTTTTCTTCCAGTGTTCCTTCAGCAGCTCCTGTGCAAGCTAGGGTTGAAAAAAAAGAGACACAATAAATGTTATACACTGACAGTAGGAGCACCATGATGCAGCACTGAGAGGGAAATTTCCAACCTTTTTTCTTCTTTCCTCTCTCGCTGTACGGAGATCTTCAGTTTTTTGCACCAGCTGACTTGCCAACGCGCTCCTGTCAGGAACAACTTCCCTGAGCTCCGCCTCCAGCCGGTCTTGCTCCTCTTGAAGCATGGCCCTGAGCCGATTCCTGCGC